GAAATGGAGCAACGGCAATATTTTCCAACAGAAGGAAACAGAGATAGAGTCACACTCTCTTCTGAGACTAAGACTAAACAGCCCAGGTTTCTGGCTCCATCTTATGGCCGTTTGAGAAACCACACCCAATTACACTTTTTTGTATTTTCTTAAAGATACAGTATTAAAATGTCTATCCTGGTTTATATATTGTCCAACCCAAATAGCTGTTAGCTGACTCATATTCCTAACAACCATCCCTATCTATTGGACCGGACAGAATATGTGCCTACTTCTTCAAAAAGCTATCTACTGCCCTAGCCAAACCTCTAAGCATAATCTTTAAAAAATCTTTCAGGACCAGCTCCTTGCCAACACTATGGTCACAAGCCATGGTCATCATCCCCATCTTCAAAAAGAGAGACCCCAGCCTAGTTGAAAATTACAGACCAATCTCCTTATGCTGCAAAGTCCATGACCTGTAAAGTCATGGAATCAATTATTAATCAATCCATTATCCTCCACTCAGAGGCAAACAACCTACTCTCTAATAAACAATTTGGTTTCAGAAAAAAACTATCCTGTAATCTGCAACTCTTACACTGCAAAAGCATATGGACTAAACAACTCGATCAGGGCAAAGCAATAGACGCAATCTACATAGACTTCTGTAAAGTCTTTGATTCAGTGGTACACAACAAACTACTACTAAAACTAAAATCCTATGGTATCTCTGGACACCTGCATAACTGGATAAAAGCATTCCTGTCAAACAGACAACAAATGGTCAAAATTGGGAGTGTCCTATCAAATTCTGTACCTGTCAACAGTGGTGTCCCCCAAGGCAGTGTTTTAGGGCCAACTCTCTTCATACTCTACATAAATGACCTCTGTGATCATATTAAGAGCAACTGTGTTGTCTTCGCTGATAATGTAAAGCTATTCAACACCACAGACAATACTACTACCCTTCAAAAAGATCTTGACTATGTATCAGAATGGTCAATCAAATGGCAACTTCAAATCTCAACAAATAAATGCTCTGTCTTACATATTGGCAGAAAAAATCAGAAAATAAAATACAAGCTAAATAGTCAAGACCTTGTTGAGGATCCAAACTTTGTCAAGGACCTTGGAGTACTCATCTCTAATGATCTAAGTGCTAGAGCCCACTGTAACTACATAGCCAAAAAGGCATTAAGAGTTGTTAATCTAATCCTACGTAGTTTCTTCTCTGGTAATATCACACTACTAACTAGAGCATACAAAACATTTGCTAAACCTATACTTGAATACAGCTCATCAGTCAGGAACCCATATCATGTATTTGATATTAACACAATTGAAAAAGTCCAGAAATATTTCACAAGAAGAGCTCTCTGCTCCCCTACTCATTGCACAATACCTTATGCCACCAGACTTGAAACTCTAGACCTAGAAAACCTAGAACTATGCCGCCTCCGGTCCAATCTAAATATAGTATATAAAATCATACATTGCAATGTCCTACCTGCAAATGAATACTTCAGCTTTAATCATAACAATGCAATAGATACACAATAGATACAAACTCAAGGTTAACTGCATCAAACTTGACTGCAGAAAATACAACTTCACCAACAGAGTGGTCAATGTCTGGAATACTCTACCTGACTCTGTGGTTTCTTCCCCAAACCCCAAAAACTTTAACCTTAGACTGCCTACTATTGACTTCACCCCTTCCTAAGAGGCCTGTAGGGGGCATGCATAAACGCACCAATCGTGCCTACCATCCCTGTCCTATTGTTTTTTATTTTTCTTATAAGTATCTATCTCATGTATTCAAAACTGTATTTTTTCTTATACCTGTGTTTTGTAAGCGATTGACAAATCAAATAAATACTAAATCCTAAATACTTTTAAGATGTCATTGATACATAATTTGCCATATTATACTGTGTCAATGAGCATAACCCAATATAATTACTAGAAATTAGTCCAGATCACTACATATCTTTCTTCAGCATATTTTGATATGAAAGCTAAAAGTACAATTTTGCAGCAATATATTGTTTGTTTTATTTTTATCTGTTGAGTTGAACTAAAACATACTGTATATCCCATTGAAAATAATTCCTAAAGATATTCCTAAAAATATTTACCATTTATCAAGGAAAAATTGCTGAAATTCTGGCAACCCAGGTAAAATAATGTTCTGAATACTCTAAAAACTCAATCGAGTATAAAGAGATTGATGGGGGAAGGACAGCGATTATTTTTTTAAATGCAGAAAGTGTAGTATTCCACTGGGAGTTATTTTCTGAGCTGATAGGGAATTCCCCCAAATTGTTTACTCAAAATATTGTATAGATTTTTTTTCATTTATACCAGGATTGGAAGAAATATGTTTTTATATGGATTGCTATAAAATGTATTACTTTGTTTTGAATGTTTTACAGAGATTTTGAATGTTTTACAGATATATTTCATTTTAATACATTGCTTCCCCAGATGCTTTTTTTTTTTGGCTTTAGTTAAACTCCCACAATGACATCAGGCTACTTTCTTGGATAAAGAAGCAGTTATAAAATTGCAAATGTATACAAGTTGGCCCAAATACAGCCCAAATGGAACTATGACAAGCCCAGGGATTTAGATGAGAGAGGTTGCAGAGCTGAGGGGAGATTACTCACACACGTACACACAAACACATACAACTGAATTTCAGTGATCTGTTACAACTGAGAAACAGGCCTGTTTCAGTGCAATGGCAGAATAAACAAAGCTTGAACACTGGAAGAGGCAAATTTAATACAAAAGGCTTTGGTTGTCTCCTGTACTCTGTTCCTTATATTTTAATAAGTTGATCCTAACTTAAAAAAAAGTAAAGAAATAGTCAGTCCCCTGAAACAATTGTGCTAAAAGATGATCAGAAATGCTTCCACCAAGGGTAGGCAATGTTTGGCCCTCAGTCTAATTTCAAGAGTCCTAAGAGCAGCTCCTATCAGCAATTAATTGTAGAAGAGGCAGAGTCTGGGGGCAGAGTTAAAAGAGTAATCAGTCTGGAGTCATTATGTTGCCACAAGTAATCCAAGACCAACCTTCATTGAATTCCATTAACTCTTATCTAGCAGCAATAGTAACTAGATTCTTGTGTATAGGCTTGAGCAATAAATTGTCTTAACTGGGACTTAACAATTGATCATGATTCTTTGTGCCTGACATTATTTCAGTTTTACTGGCAAAAGGTGCTATTGTAATCTGCTGAGCAGAAGTGGAGGAAAAGTAGGAAGGGTGTCAGAAGGGATGACCATATTTTTGAAAGGGTTAGATCCTAAACCCCATTTTGGATAAGATCTACCTACTTATGATGCACCATTTCTTCGAATGAAAGGCAGCTTTCAAGACGATGAAACACTCAACCTTTTCTGCTGTCTTGGGAGAAAATATCTATGAATTTGTGGCAATAATGAAACAATGCTAATCAAAAAATTAATCGCATGCTAAAATGTGATTAAACAATTGAAAATTATTGAAAGAAACAGCAGGTTTGATGCCAAACCCCACTGATCATTTTGTGTGCAATAAATATGTACTCAACCTTATTTTTTTTAAGAAAAAACTATTTATAATTCAAGCAAAAACTTAATAAAGTATACAGCACATAATGAAATATTAATGCTAAGATTTTAAATAGCAGATCAGCATAAAGCCAATAAGTAAAATATCTTGGAGAATAAAAGAAGTTGGTGTCCGGAAAGATGTAAATGTAGGTAGTAGACAAGCATTTTGTCAAAGCATCTTTTCATAACTGGAGATCAGTGGAGAGAAAACATTTTTCTAGGCATTTCCTGCCATAGTAATACAGCTGATATGGTTAAATGAGATCTTAAAAATGGTCTTAGCTGACACTCCATGAGGTGAAAGTTAGAATTAAGTATCACATGCTATTAAGAATCAGTTTGGTGCAGTGATTAAGATACTAAGCTAGCAACTAGGAGATTGTGAATTGTAGTTCTACCTTAGTCATGAAGTTGGCTCGAAAGCAAGAGACCATGAATTCAATTCCTGTCTTTACCATGAAAACCAACTGGGTAACCTCGGACCAATCACTCTCTCTTAGCTAACCTTACCTCACAGAGTTATTGTTATGGGGAAAATAAGATGTGTTGGATATATTTGCTACCTTTAGTTGTTTATAAAAATAATTAAGGTGCGATATCGATAAACAAAAAATAAAATCAGTGATGACCTGTGCAGTGCAATATCAACTTAAGCTATTCTATATATCACATGAGGGCAAATGTGAAACATGTTTTCCCTTTCAGAGAATGAGCATGGGCTTTTAAAGCAGGCTAAGCTAATATAACAAAGGACTATGCTCTGTTATGCAAAGAAGTTGAATTGCCCAAGATACAAGATTGGTGTAAGAAATATTTGGGGTCTTTTCCACCTTCTTTCAGTTGTGCACACCAGTACTAGTACTGTTTATTAAATAGTAATTTCCCTCCATATATAGCTGTCATTTCACTCAGTGAGTAGGATTTTTGTCTGAAAATACTGAATGGCAAATATTAGATCAGTGAGAAGGGAGATGGAATACTTCCATAAAGCTACTGCTTATATTTAGCAAAACCTTGAGAGTTTGTAGATCATTGTCTAGAATGTAGTCGATGGAGAAGATGCATATTTTGCAATACACTTGGTCTCACCATTGATATTCCAACTTTATCAAAGAATTGGTCACCCAACAATAATAATTTTAAATGGAAGATTATAGATTATTATGCCTATCCCCAAACATCTTATACAGAACCCAAATGAAGATGCAACACTAAAATGGGAAATTATACATACATTATTTTTATGATTGAACTATTAAATAAATATTTTATTAACCTTTATTTTAAAGATATCAAAACTTCAGTTTTGGTGGAAATGCATTCATCTCCATTTTCAGTGGACATTATATCAACAGAAATTGGTATTAACAAAGGTATGTTGACATTGCTAAATGATATATTAGAAAACATTTTCCTTACCTTTATTGTACATATTTGTTGGCACTTGGACATCACTCAATGTGACATTCACAGGCAAATTATTGAAATGATCATTTGGTTCAAGGATGAATTCCTTTCCCAGTTCTAAGAAGTTTCCATCTTCATCTCGTTCATTAATGAGAACAGCATTGAAATATTCATACTGAAATGGAAAATCAGTGATGATAAATCTATAAACTGATTTGTTAACATACTTGGATAAAACCAAAAGTCTGTCTAACATTGGGTCCCACAATGTTGATGTACAACAAGGCCAGAACAACAATTTCATAAATTATTACATAGAAGTAAACCATCACTGATCCTGAAAGTTATGCATACATTTTGATTGATTGATGTTTTTATCAGTTCAGTCATAGATAATTCCAAGAAACTCACAGTTTGGAATAGATATCATTATTATTAGCAGTCTAAAATAATATGGTAGTAATCATAATATAATTGCAATGACACAACATAATCATCTATCTGCATATATTCAGAGCCACACTTAACCAATATGGTTTGAAATAAGATTGTTCTGCAACACTTGAAAGGAAATGGCTATCCTTCACCCTGGTAAAGACTATTCAATAAGAGGAGTACCCACAGAGAATGTCCACCTCTTAAATCCTGTCACATTTACCAATAAATGGGGACTCTTAGAAGTCACTACTTATTTGTAGGCACTGAGGAAGCAGATTCTACATCAAACAGACAACCCTAAAGATACTAGATCCAAAACCAAAAATGACTTTATAGCCAATTTAAATTGCACACAGAAATTAACTAACAACCAGACAGCTCTTGGAGCATGGTGTTACATGAGAGTAACACACAAGTAGCTGCATTCTAAAACTCTGGTAGTACAGTGGTTAGAATGCAGTACTGCAGGCTAACTGCCCACAGTCAGGAGTTTGATCCTGACCTGCTGAAGGTTGACTCAGCCTTTCATCCTGTCCTCCTTTTGGTAGTCATGGTTGTAGTAATTAGATCAGTCCCCATTCATTGGTAAATGTGAAAGGATTCAAGAAGTGGACATTCTATGTGGGTATTGCTCTTATTGAATGCTTCTTCTGTCTGCTGCGCACACCTATGCTTCAGCTGCCCTTGCTCCCTACCTCATCTCTGCTCTTCTGGCTATCCTGCCAACACTATAGCCCTATGTTTTGCTACTCTGCTTCCCCTGATGCTCTGCTGCCTATGACTTCTGCTTCCCTGTACTCTGCCAGCACTGCTGCCTACAGCTGATCTTCATGGTCATCTTCTTCCCATTCCTGACAAGTCCAGCATGCCCTGCTTGTGTGAGGCCTTCAGAAGGCTTGAATTAATTTTTAGAGAATAGCTAGGAATATCAATAGCTAGCAATTATGTAGATTTAGAGGAAACATGTGTTAAAAAACCAGCTGTTGGAGACCACTTGTGGGAGAAAGTTTTGCACACATATATTCCTTTTGAATTCCCCATGGTATGAAACTGCTCTCAGAATGACTTAGCGGGGTTCTTTTTATGTCCCTATGACATTTAAAGGAGAAAGATTTACAGATTACAGGATAGATTTAATTTTTCTTCCAACATTAAATAACAGATAAGCAAAAAGCAATTTAGATAATAATATTGATTATTTTTAGGTCAAACAGAGACTACATCAAGTTCTTGGAACAAGTGGAGTCTCTGGTAACCAAGGATTTTAAACAGTGAAATAAAAACAGAAGAGAGAATATGGTGTTAAATAAGTCATGTGTTTTGTTGTAATAGTACTGTTTTACCTTTATCTCAAACATTATATTAAGTACTTTGTAATCAGTACCAAACTTAATTTGGTACGTTGTAATCAGTACCAAATTAAGTACCAAACCCAACCAAGATCTTCATACAATTTTCTATAGTTTCCTGATTTAGTTGCATAACAAAGATCTATATAATTCACCTAACCAGTTGAATATTTTTTCCTAACAATTGATCTTAATCATATTTGCAAGACTTCACACAATAATTCATTACTGGCAGCAGTTAAATAATAATTCAACGGTTTGATTATAATTACACTGTCTTTAAATTTAGGAAATTACTTATACTGTCGATCTAACTCAATACGTTTGTATCCAAGAGCATAAATCATCAGAGTTTCAGGCAGAATATAGTTTCAGGCACTGCACTTTAAAAAAAAAAACTTTTAAAACCATTTTAAAATATTGAATGCTGTCCTATACCATATCAGATTTTGGGGTCATCTGATCAAACACTGATTGGTAATTGTCCTCCAACATTCAGGCAAATGTTTGTTAAATCTTTTTGAAAATTGCTGAGACCTCACTGGAATCTTCTGAAAGATTGTACATAGATCATTGTACATGATCTATCACAGAACTTTTGACCCTCTTAAAAATCTTCTGCAGAGATTATGCTTCAGTTTTGCTATACAATTTCATTGAATTCAGAGTCTCTTTCAAATGCCAGGAGCATCTGAGTTAAATCAACCAGCAACTAGGGGAAAAGGGAAGCACATTCATATATGTGGCTTTCTGTGCCTAAAAATGTTATCTGTAGTGGTTCCTCAAGCACACGCACTGACTTTCTTTAAGAACAAATCATCAGAAATACCAACTGGAATGGACCAAACATCAGGCTCCAAGACTGAATTCAGAAAAAGTTGCTCAGTGTAAGGTATGACCAATAAAGATATCAATCTTTGATGGAATGAAACAACTTCACTTGAAACAACTGGTTGTCCTCTGTAAATATGAAGTGGATTTACTTAATACCAGCAGAACTTATTTATAACACTTCTTCCCATCTCTGCCACAACTTGATGAACATTGCCTTATGCTCCTTATCCTTGGAACTAAGTGAATACTGATTGACTTAACAGATATTTCAGCCCTGAGAAATGTTAGCTCCCAATATATTCTCAACAGCAGGATTTCAGCAGTCCCAAGCCATTGATTCATGTAGGCTTGAACCTCTGTGAACTCTTTTGTTCCCTTCTAGAGTCAATTCACAACCAGTGAGGAGATACTCAGCTCCTTCTCTATTTTCCCTAGTACAGTATGTGTGCCTGGAGATAAATTGTTCAAGGACTAATTCTAACCACAATCACTCTACCTTATCTAACACAAGTTTCTTTAAAATATTTACCATTAGCCCTTTAAAAAAAATTTGGAATTAGTGCTTTCATATCTTATTTCAGATATTTTAAATACAGGCTCCTGAAATGTTCTGTTCAAATTTGAGCGGCTGTGAAATCCAGTAGTAATGAAGTGCCACTTCCAATACCACAACTTTGTTACAGACTTTATTCTGTTAATAAATCTTAGTACGACATTTTGGATGTAATACGTTGGTATAATCAGCTTTTATATACATATCCTAATTCTTTCATTTTATTCACAGATGATGTTGACTGATTTGTCCTTATTATATAGCAGTCCTTTGAAATCTAAAGTGTATTTTGCTGTAAAGAGAACGAATTCCAGGAGTGGTCCGCATATTACTTGCACTCAAGTTGGTATTGATCCATTAGGAATTGTTCCTAGATAAAGTCTTCCTGTATTCCTTCATTATCACCTTATCTTTATTAAATCAGTTGTACTGTAAATATTCAGATGCTGGATGATAAGTCTGTCTTGCTTTCTAGACAAGCCTTGTTGTCAGATGGTAGATGCTGATGCAGGCATTTTAGTATAAGCAGAACTCTATATAAGGAAAGTATCTTCCTCTATAAGGAAGATAACACAGAACTACATTATCACTTTCTTGATCTTCTTCCCATTTTAATACATAAATGTGCATATTGCACAGTCCCATTCATATTTTTTATCTACTCCTATGCAGTCTGACATAATTGACTTTTAATCTTTGCACTCATGGAACAGTCGGATGCAGCATTTCTTAAAATTTGTTTTTCATCTTCCAATCCTTCACAAACCAGTTTCAAGCCAATCTTCAATCATCTTCACTTCTATGGATGTAAAATGCTAAGGGAAAGGCAGAAAAATCAGGAGCTAAACATTTATCCTTCCAACTGACCAGTACACGACTTTTGTAAAATGGAATTCAAACAGTGCCTTCCCTGAACTGCCATAGCTCCTGGAATAAACAAATAGCTATACCCTTTTGTCTGCACCCTTCAAAAAGAGAATGAAAATAAATTATTTGGATTATATCTATCTATATCTCAATGCATGTTATCAAAGGGCATGCATAGTTTATCAGTCTAGGAGTGGACTCTTCTGAATTCCAGAATGTTTCATTTCCCTCCAGACTATGACAAAATTATTTAACAGTTCAGGAGATATAATTTCATAGTTTCAGAACACAAAGCCCCTCCAAACTAGAAATCATTCAAGTATTCAGTATATAATGGACAGGACAAGAGAGGGCTCTTTCAATAGTGGACCACCTCTTAAAGCACTTCTGGAGAAGAAACCCCCACCTAGGAATGATAGGGTCCAGAGAAAACTAGAATACTCTGCAGTTCTTCAAAATGGTCCATACTTGGATCCATTAATTTTGAATGTCCTTAAAGATGCATGCATTTGATTGATATGTATAAAAGTGTGGAAGAGAGAGGAGGAGGGAAAAGCAGAAGAGTGTGTATAGTAGTAAGATTCATAATGTCTTTTTATCTTGTACAATCCAGAATTCTTCTGGTAAATGGGCAGCTATATAATTTAAAAATATGTGTATGTGCAGACATATGGGCCTTTGTATAGCAGTATAGCTTTAGTTTGCATCATTAATGGTATGTGATATTTTCTTTTATATTTTTGTTTAATGATTTTGGACACTGCCCAGAGTTACTTTTTTGACTTGGATAGCTGCTAAATGGTCCAATTAAACGAATAAATTACATTATTTGGGAAGACTATTGGAATCTAGCAGATTTCTTGCTTTAGATGTACAGATTTAAGTGTATGAAACATAATGCATTTGACTCTCAGAAAAAGGAATGTAATAAAGATGATTATACAAATCATTAAATTCCACCATCCATGCTTTCAAACTTGGGAGGGTGCAAAGGTTGTAATTGGGCTTGCATTTGTTTAGAATGCAGTCTAAATATTAAAAGAAAATCTACAACTATCAACTATAATGAAAGCTTCCTTAAACATAGTGGGAATTCTATGACATCATGTATACCACAGTGCTTTGTGACACTAG